CTGAGCAGGCCTGTTGAAGACCCCTCCCCACCTTCCCCTCAAGTCTCTGAGAAGTACTTATTGACCTTTCTGTACATCTTTCTGAAATATCAGTTCAAGCAAACTCATGTACTCTAAGGCCCCCTACCAGCCCTTCCCTGCCTGACTTTCCCCAGCCAGTTCTGATCAGGCCCTCTCCAACCCTTACTTCACGCTCAAAAGGAGCCCTTTGGCCACACTTTAAATTTAACTTCTGTCAAGCCACTGGACTCAGACTCTCTTTCTCCAATAGCAACAAGAAATTTTCTCTTCTAGAGAAGATTCTCTAGAAGAGATATTTTGTGCCTGAAGGAAATCTAACAAACTTAAAGAAGAGAATGAAAAGTGGAGGAGCACTTCTCTTACTCGCAAATACTAAAGATAAAACACTGTCTGGGCAATTCATGCCTGTACAAATTCAGTGGGTCAGTGTTTATAAGTTTCCTAAAGTGGATATTTTGGCCAAAACTATACCACTTGGAAAAAGCCAATTAAATCACACAATTCTTTCTTTCAATTCTTCTGTCATATTAATCTCTCCTTCAAAATAGTTGTCTAACTCTCTGATTTATTTTCACTAGATAAAAATTTACAGCTTTGTTGATCTATCTGGATCATAGAAGTCAAGTCCACCCCCTATCTCTGCTAAGCTAAATCCCTCAAGGAAGAAGAGAAATTATCTTCCCTAGAAAATCTTTCTCAAATATTTTGGGATATATATATTTATATATATATATAAAATTTAAAACATTTGATTAAAATTTTCATCATTCTAAGTTGTTTTATAGATATGAAATAGTAGGCTTTAGTTTTCAAAACATCCTTCTGTATAGAAGAAAGTTCTTTCCCCCTGCAGTACACATTCTGAATTTCAGATAAAGTTTGCATGTGATCAAGTTCATGTGCACCTAATGTTACTATCCATTTATAGAGTTCTCTATGATTTACATGTCCGTGTTTGTTTTAATTCTACTAGTACTGCAGTGAAGTGAATAGCAGTACACCCATTTTGTATTGGGGAAGGCTGAGACTCAGAGCCCAGGAAAACTTGTCGATGGTTAAAGAGCTAGTTAAGGACTTGAATCCAAGGATTCTGACCCAAAGCCTAGTACTTTTCCTATTGTAGTACATGCCACCCATAGTCTAATGTTCTCTCTTAGATTAACAATAGCGTATAGTTTAATTGTTGTTGTGATTGTTGTGAGGTGCCACCTCATCCTTTCTGACTCATATCAACCCTACGTACCAAGGACAATACACTGCCCGGTCTGACGCCATCCTCACAATTATTGCTACAATTGAGCCCATTGTTACAGCCACCATGTCAATCTAGCTGACTGGGCGTCTTCCTCTTTTTCACTGACCTGTATTTTACCAGCATGATGCTCTCCTCCACAGACTGGTCACTCCGGAAAACAAGTCCAAAGTCTGTGAGATGAAACCTGGTCATCCTTGCTTCTAAGGAGTCTTTTGGCCGTACTTTAAATCTAACTCATATTAAGCCACCGGACTCAACCGCTCTTTTTCCAATAGCAAACACCAAGTGTCTTTTTAGTTCTTAAGCACCAACCTTTGCTCCTGGGTTTGGCTTTTAAATGTATTCCAGAGATCTGGACTGAGGTCAGTAAAGCAGAGGCACTTCTGGGTCTGCTGAAGGATTCATAGTGTTCTAACCAACTCCCAGCTGAAGCAGCTCCTTCTACAGAGAGGGCGATCATCTGAGGTGTAAACATCTAATGTATCTAACTCTGGCTCAAAAGGTTCCCCAGCACTCCCAATGTGGTAAGGACCATCAACCCTCAAAGATAAGTCCATTTCTAAGTAAGTCCTTGTTGTTTACTCCTCGATGTAGCTCATAGAAGCTAGAAAATCAATCTTATTTCACTCGATGTTGGGGCCATCTAGCCCCCTGATGAATTTACTTTATCCAACCAGACAATTTTATAGCCTATTATTTACTCCACTATGGGTTCTCGGTTGTTGTTGGTGGTGGTTTGCATTCAACTGTGGGTTGAACAAGAAATATAGACTCTCTAGGCCAGATCTTCTTTTCAGCAGGGAGATAACTTGTTCTTTAGGGAGCCAAGTTGCTTTGTTTTCCCAGTACTTTCTGCTGAGGCTGAGAGGGCCAGCCGGAATTCTGAAACGTTTTCATCTAACTGCTACAGAAGGGAAGGTGATGAGACTCAGGGAGGAACTGGAGACCATGGTGAATTTGGGAGACCGAGGCCAAAGCAATCACTGTAATTGACCGTATGGCTTCAGGCACACGGTATGTGCACTGTCTTTTTCTTGACTATCGTTGCTGTGCCAACTGGAAACCCACCCATGGAGATGGAGTTGATGTCAAGTCATGGTAATCCCATGACTTGCTAGCGGGACTGAATTCCCTCAACTCTGAGATGCTTGTGCTATTTTATGAACGTGAGCTGCAGCTTCCCTCCTTTGGATCTCATGTTGTTTCCTCCGTGGTCCAGGGCAAGAGAGAGGGTGGCGGGGTTGAGGGAAGAGGAGCCATCGCATCGTTCTCCAGTCTCAAGTCAAACAGAGGCCTGGTTCAGATTTGGGGTTAGAGGAGAAACCGAACACGCTGCCCACTGCAGCTATAGTCTCCTTTGGATTTCCTTAGAGGGCTCCGTCTGTATGGGGGACATGTTCAGGAAAGAGGGAAAAGCTGGGAACATTTCTAAGCCCCCCAAAAAAGAGTAATAGAAAGATAGGCTTTTCCAACTTCAATACCCCTTTCTCTTCACTCCTTCCTCAGGCCACCCCACCCTCCCATTTCAACCCTCCTTCCCTTTGTCTGCCCTCTTCCCTTTGGCAGTGAACATTCTCCCCCCTCCCCCATTGCATCGCTCTCTTAAAGAAGTTACCAGCTGGTTCCCCCACCCCCAACGTGTCCCAGTCTGCAGCCGGGTCTGAAGCAAAGCATGGGCCAGAAGGGGGAGGGGGCAAGGGTCCTGTGAAATGCTTTGAGCTCTTTCATAGTTGGGAACTAAGCCGGGCTCACAGTTATTAGAGAAGAGAAAGGCAATGTGATAGAGAGAGAAAAGAAGAGAGGCAATTCTGGAAAGGAAAAAACAAAAACCAAACCAAACCAAAAAGAACCCACGACCAGGCACACAAAACAAAAGCTTCCTGCTGTGACGTCAACCCTGACTCAAGCAATCCCACAGAGGATAGGTACAAATGAAGAATGGGACGCAGAAAGATGGAGAGACACAAAGGCAAGGAGATGAGATAACTCCGGTGACCCTTGCAGAGAAATGAGCTTCTTTAGGGCGTTGAAACCTGAGAAGTGGTGATGGTTTCTCCCTGGACCTGTCTCACCACCTGCTTCCTCTGGCTCTCCTGAGCTCCCTTGTTTACAGAGATCCCTCCCTGAACTCTTGCCCTCCTGGACTTGCCCTAGCCCCAGCCTCAGGCCCCTGGCCAGGCAGACACCCTGACAGGTTACAAATGAGTGTGGGTGTTGGATTGCACCAAGCTCTTGTCTGAGGAGTCCGTAGGAGGAGAATCAATGGGTTTCTAGTCTAGTCCCATCAGGATCTCAAAGAGTGAGGGGGGCCACTTCCTGTTCCCTTGACTCCAAACCTAAACTAGCAGATGCACAGGGCAGAAAGGGGTGACCCGACTGAGGGCCCACATTTGAGCATTAGAATGAAGGGTCTCGGGGTCTCTACACTAATTCCTTCTTTCTCTGAGCAAACTCTCCTTATGGATTCTAGAACGTTCATGGAAAATATGAATCATCGTTTAAGGCATTGAGTTTATAGATTTGGAGCTTGGGATTTTATGTTATTCTTTTGGAAGGAGAGAAGGCAGTGCAGGAAAGAGCTAAGAAGGAGCCAGAGAGTCCAGGGTCTACACTAAACACTTCAGAAATAGAATGAAAATTTCCCCTCTGCTTTATTCTCCTGTAGGCCACCTAGCTCTGTGCTCATTGTCGCTCTCTGGAGATATACAGGGAGTTATTTAAGTCTGAGTGAGCGAGCCAGCTACAGCTATGGATGGCTAGAGAGAGGATAAATATATCTAGAGAGATGAGTTGATGGATAGGCAGGGAACAAATATAAATATGGAGAGAGATGGACGAATGGAGAGATGGATTGAGACAGAGAGAATATAAAGAGAGGCTGAGGGAGAGAAATGGATGTGTGAATGAGGAGAGAGCATTTAGGCGGAGAGATGGAGACAGGATTAGGGCGGTTCCCCTCCTCCTCACCGCCTTTCTGTGGCCCTGCCTTGCTGGCTGAAATATGCCACTTTCCCAGCCCACACTTACTGAATTCTTCATCTAGATTCTAGACTCTGCCTCACACCCTTAGGCATTTCCCCTTCACCCCATCATCCATTTGGCCCAAGACAACATACCTCACCCGTATGTCCTAGCCCATCAGCCCCACACAAATGGAAAGAAAGAAGCACAGAGCGGGCAAACCAAAGAAGGAGGCTGGATTTCCCACCTCCACCTCCACGGCCTTGGGAGGGTAGGCTCTTTTGGGATGTGGCAAGAGTTGGGGGGCAGCTGGATTGAATTTGTCCAAATCTAATAACCCAGGAGCCTCTTGAAGGCCTTGGGGGTTGGGAGGGGAGGAAAGTCTTGAATATTCTTCGAACTTTCCCCCCTCTCCCTCTGGTCCCTTCTTTCCAAAAGTCTTTGAAGAAAGATGTTTTTGACGCTTCCACGTCACTCTCAGATGGATGGGCTGAGGGTGATTGAAGTGTCTTTGTGATGCTAATGTTTGGGGGGTGATGGATGGGCGCTGGGGCTGCCAAACTCTGGCCCGCTGAGCCCATTGGCCTGGGAGAGATCACATGCGCCCCCCACCCCACCCCTACCCCTTCCTAGGGGAGTGCTGGCCCAGGCGAGCTGGGCCGGGCCATGGATGTAAACCTCAGCGCGGTGACATACTGCGGAAAGGTTGTAGGGCAAGAGGGTGTCTCCCCCAAACGGGCCGACCCTCTTGCGGCCTCGCCGCATGGACTATAATAGGATGAACTCCTTCCTAGAGCATCCACTCTGTCACCGGGGACCCAGCACCTACAGCGCTCCCAACGCCCCTACCTCCTTCGCCCCTTGTTCGGCTCCAGCCCTTGACAACTACGCAGGAGAGACCCGCTATGCTGGGGCGCTGCCCAGCCCCGGGCTCCAACAAAACCCGGGCTACCCGGCGCAGCAGCCCCCTTCGACGCTGGGGGTGCCCTTCCCCAGTTCTGCCCCCTCGGGGTACGCCCCGGCCGCCTGCAGCCCCGGCTATGGGCCTTCTCAGTACTACTCTCTGAGCCCACCGGAAGGCGATGGGGGCTACTTCCACCCCGCAGGCTACGGGGCCCAGCTAGGGGGCCTGTCCGACGGCTATGGCGCCGGGGGAGCCGGCCCGGGGCCCTACCCTCCGCCGCAGCCCCCTTACGGGCAGGAGCAGGGCGCCAGCTTTGCGCCGGCCTTTGCGGACCTGCTCTCCGACGGCAAGGAGCCGCCGGGCCCCGCCGAGCCCAGCACCCCCACCGCGCGGACCTTCGACTGGATGAAGGTCAAAAGGAATCCACCCAAGACAGGTAGGGCTCCAGGGTGGCCGTCCCTTGGGGGGCCCAAAGCGGCTGCGCCGCCTCCGCCCGGGGTCCTTCCCTCGGAGTCCCTGGGTCAAGGCAGGGCAGAGCGCGCCGCTGCCGTCCAGGCCCGGTGGGGCTCCCCATCCAGTGAGTGCCTGGTCACCCCCGAGTCAGGCTACACGCCCCTCCCTGGCCGACCTGGGCCCTGGTCCCTAGGCTGGAGGGGCCCTAGGGGGAGGGGGTGGTAGTGGGGATGGGGATGGAGAGGGAGGTGGCTGGAGGCTTGGAGGTGGGGCGGGAGTGTGGGTTGCCTGGTGATGGGTGAGCGTTTTGAAAGGTGGACTTGGGCCTCGAGATGGATGGGGGTGAGGTGCGTGGCCGGCTCGGGCGGAGGGGTGTGGGAGCTGACTGGCCTGTCCCCACCCCACACACACCGCCCCGCCTCCAGCCAAGGCGTCCGAGGTGGGCCTGGGCGCGCCCGGCGGCCTCCGCACCAACTTCACCACGCGGCAGCTGACGGAGCTGGAGAAGGAGTTTCACTTCAACAAGTACCTGAGCCGGGCCCGGCGGGTGGAGATCGCCGCCACCCTGGAGCTCCACGAGACCCAGGTGAAGATTTGGTTCCAGAACCGGCGCATGAAGCAGAAAAAGCGAGAGCGGGAGGGAGGCCGGGCGCCCCCAGTACCCCCAGGCGGTTCCAAGGAGGGGGCCGGAGGAGACACCTCGGACCAGTCCGCCTGCACTTCTCCGGAACCCTCACCCAGCTCCATCACCTCCTGAGTCCGATGGGCCTTCCTGGAACCCAAGCACCCCAGTCCAGCCCTTTGGGCTTGCCCCCACCCGGAGCCTCAGGATCACCGACTAGGGCTGGGCCCAGCAGCTTAGTGCTGTCCTGGGGTGGGAGTAATAGTTTCCTCTGGGCGTGGCGGGGTGGGGGGTGATGGCTAAGGGACCCTCAGCACCAAAGGCAAGGGGGGACCTGACCCAGTCAGATGTGGAGGGAAGGGCGTCTGCCTCTGACCTGGGGACCAGCCCTGGGCACCACGTGGGTGAGGTGGGGGAAAGGAGTGGATGGAGCCTGCATCCTCCTGGATTCTCCTTTCCTTTAGAACTTCCGTTTGTTTCAGTTCAGTGCCTTTGGGCTCCAAGGACTTCCTCTACCCCAGGAACGCCTAGCCTACTAACCTCCCCTTAGGACTAAGGGAGAGCTCTGGATTTTCTTCAGGGAAGGGAGGTGGTTGGGCCTCAGGTAGACAGATCATTATCAAGGTCTCCAGCCACCACCAAGTTACCTTTTGACAGACCAAAAAGTTCCCTAGCTAATCCCATTAACTCTTCCCCTTCCGACACATTGATATTGCACTAATGCAACCTCCAGAGGTTGTTTTCTGAGACCCACATCCTCCACAAGCCACCTCCTTGCCAAGTCACCAAAGTGCTTCGCACCTGGGAGCTCTGGGAACTCAGGAAGCTGTGCAAAGCCTGCCCCAGAGAGCGAGTCAGGAAGGCACAGGTGCCTGCACTCGGTCCTCCCCTATTTATTGCTTCCTGGGAAGCCCAGGACACCCCTCCCCGTCTGTCCCCAGCCCTGAGGGACCCAGTGGCAGTGAGCACCTCTTGAACCCCAGAGACAACCCAGGGGTCATCCAGGTCGACCAGGTGGCCTTTGTACCTACAACTACCTCATTAGAATAAAAGCTGTGTTTTCCTCCCTCTTCTTGTCTACATCTAGGTGGGGTGCAGACCTCTGAGGGGTGGGGGAGGCCTCCTTCTCCCTGAGCCCCAAGGGAGAGAAGAAGAAAGAGTGAGCAAAATGGAGCATCAGGCATCCAGGCAGGGCCATGGTCAACCCATAGGGCACGGAGAAACCTGGGCAGGACACTGAGGAAGATAGCAATGGGGAAGAGACGGTTCAGGGAGGGGCCCGAGAGGAAGAACGGAAAGGAAAGCAAGAAAGATTTATGGGAAATGAACTGAAAGAAGACGGAGAAAGAGTGGGGGAAGGTGAAGAGATTCCACCCTCATCCACCTCCAGCTCTGGCCTAGAGTGAGTATATATTTGTGAAGGAAAAGAGCCCAGAAGCCCAACCAGGAGAGGGAGGCTGAGCAAAGCATCTCTATCTTCCTGCTCAGAGAAAGTTGAAGGTTGGGCAGTTGACAAACTGGGGTGGTACACACTGCCCCCTTATGCCCTCAGCCCAGTGTGTCCCATCTAGTGACCCCAGGGGGGCATGGAGAGGCAAGTCACCGGGAGACTTCACTGAAATCCTTCTACACCCCTTCATGGGGAGGGCAAAGTGGGATGAAGGTGCAGGAGAAGGGGAAGAGGCATCCAAGGGAAGCTGTAGAAAGGTGGAGAGCTTGGGGCAGGGGGTGAGAAGGAAGGGGGTCGGGTGGGGGGAGGGAGGCAGGGGTAAACCTGGGATCCCACATTTTACCTACCTGTATACTTCCAGGTGCCTCTGGGCTTTCCAAACAAGCCAATGGGATGCTCTTAAGGGCAGCTATTGTCTCAGTGCCAGCCTTGGGTTGGTTGAAGGGTGGGGGTAGGGACTGGGGATCAGGAAGCACTGAAGGTGGTCAACAAACAGCTATCACTCCCTTGCTTGGGGTGCAGCAGAGATGACCAGGGTCTCAGAACCCCTGGGCCCCGACTAATTGGCTAAGCATGGTTTTATTTGTGAAAGCACAAGTTTACATATGAAACAGCTCACTACAAATTATTATACATATTATACTTAATAATACAAACTATTAAGTCAACACAAGCAAGCCAGTGCTTAACTTGCTTGGATACTTTGTCCCCGTCAGGGATTGTAAATTTGAAAAGAGGCTTTGATTCCATAGGCAGGTGCCGTGAGGTTGGAAAAGAGACAGATGCCAACCATGCCTAGAAGCAGAAATTTTGATGGGGTGAAATTGTTCACTACATAGTATTAAGCAGACACGAGTAAACACTGGTTTACTTGTGCTTACTAGGTAATGTGATATAACCTGTTGATAACCCAGCGCTTCCAAGGAGCTCTCCTGCCCAAGGACCAGGGCATTCTGAGGAGAGGCAGTGGGCACCAAGAGAGGGGCGTACCTCTTACCCAATCCTCCCCACACCTCGGTTTTATTTAATTCTTGACCTTTCAAAGGAAGAGTAGAAAGGATTAGGAGTGTATGCAAGAAACAAAGAGCATTTGCTTCCTAATAGCATCGGTGTCATTATACAAGAAGAGAAGCAATATTGTCAATAATTGCACAGCCCAGCAGGGCAGGGAGAGGTGTGCGGCAGGGGAAGCCTAGCTTTCTCAGAGTTGCTGTCTTGCTCTCTGTCTTAAAAAACAAATCTGTTAACTGCTTTTCTGCATTTAATTGAAATTACCACCAAGGATGGTTCCCCCAAAGGGACAAAAGCCACACAGCAAGTGTCTATGGAAACACAATCCTCCTTGCTTGGAGCACTTCAGTGGCACTGTGGAGTCTCCCGGGGGAAGTGTTTGAGGATCCTCCAGCCTTTGGGCAAGGGGCAAGAAAAGCACAGAGGAGGGAAGGAGTAGTGGTTAGCTTTGGACCACAATGATGGTGGAGCTAGGCCTTGACAGGGCCTGGGGGAGGGGTGATGGAAGGGCCAGAAGGAATGGCGGAAGCCTGGCCCATTTGATTTTTGGTCTCGGCAGCAGAAAGAACCATCAGATTTCCCAAGGGACACGGTTGAGGGGTAAATCAATTCTCTGCCAACACAGGGCAGGTTCCACATAATCCACGGTGAATTAGAGACTCCCTTTTCCTTTGATGCAAAAATCCGAACCCTTAGCCACTTTGTGGCCATCTACTTCAAATCTGAGGTTACCAACCGGTCTACCCAGAAGGTATTCTAGAAGAAATTAAAAAAAAAAAGCACTGTGTATTTTCCAATCTAAATGAAAAA